TATAATTTTATTAAGAAATAATTTTTATTTTTATATTAAAATAAAGTTTATTAGTTATAATTTAATATATATTTTTTCAATTTTTTAGATTTTTTTAAAAGAGTTATTCTAAATATAAAGTTATTATAAAATTTTATTTATTAAATTTAAATTTTAATAAGTAAAAATTTTTACATTAACTTTACAATTAGAATAACTCTTTCAGAATAAATCTAAAAAATTTAAAAAAAATATATATTAAACTATAATTAATAGGCTTTATTTATATAAAAATAAAAATTATTTCTTAATAAAATTATAAATTTTAATATAGAGAGAAAATTTAATTTTGATTATATTTTATTAGTAAATTTAGTTCTTGAAGCATTATTTTTGGCTATTATTATATATAAATAAAGTTTAAAATACTAAAATAATATAATTAATATAATTAATATTATTATTTACTTATTTATTTTTTTTAATTATTTTACTTATTAATTAATTTTAATATAATAGAATAGAATAGAATATAATATAATATATTAAATAAAAATATTATATAACTATAGTTTTTATATTAAATTATATTATAAATATATAATATTTTATACTTAATTTCAGATATTATATAGTACAGAATCTACTAACTAAAATTTATATAATAAATCTTTGACTTTTAAATTTTTTATTATGAATTTTGTTATACAAAGTTATTCAAAGTTTTTCTTAATATATTGTAAAAAAATAATATATCTTAACTAGAATTAATTAGTTAGGTTTCTTACTAATATTCTTTATAATATGAAAATAAATATAAAGAAAACACTTATAAATATTATTTTATTCTTAACTTATAATTTTAAATTATTATGTTTATTGATAATATAATCTTAGTATTATATATATTCTTTTATAATTCTTTTATTAAATAAAAATTCTAGCTTTAGATATTTGTATTCAGCCTAATGCTTTTATATAATTTTTCCAATTATTATAAACTCTTACTTTTAATTAATAATCTAGCAAATATTTTGTATATGTGAAAAATACATAATAATCCAAAAAAAATAACAGCATTATAGATTATTCTTTTATAAATTTTTATACAGAATATATATTATAATTTTATTTATCAAATGATTATTATCTGTTATAATTTTATATATAATCCTTCCAAAATTATAAATTTAGTTTAGTCTCTTTATAATCACATTTTTTATAGTCATCCAATTTGAATTTCTTAGTTATTAAATAATTATAATTAAAAAATATCTCTATAATCACATTTTTCTATAATTATTCAATTTTGAAATCGGATAATTTTAGATTCTAATAATCAGATAATTTTTAAAGTTTATAATTAAATATTTCTTCCAAATTATAGATTTAAATATTTTTTTAAATTCTCATTAAAAAATAAAAATATTTTTTTGCAATCATCATCAACCGGACAACGGATTTTCTTGGCACAACGAACTTTTTCTGATACTATGAAGCCGCTGTTATCTATAATATTTCGGTTTTTATAGAATATTATTATTATTTTCTAGATTAATAACTCGTTAGTTTCGATATTTTATAATTTAAAATTAAGTAATTTGCTCAGCTTAAATAAAACTCCATAATACCGTAAAGTCACGAAAGAAAATAAGCAACTCCTATGTCATCAATTTTGGAGCGATTTTTAAGGTAGTTGCTTATTTTCGGGCACTTTGCGAAAATATAGATATTTCGGTAACCAGACATCCAAAACGAGTGTATTATAGCTCGTTAGATTCGCTTAATGGGGCAAATGTTTGGCAGTTGTTTCGTTCGATTTAAATCACTGGTTGCTGATATATCTATAAATAACAATCTTTTTTTATTATAGTGGTTCTTTTTCTAAGACTTTGGAACTTGAAGAGAGGGTTTACGGTACGTAAAAAATTTCAAACTTGATTGCAATATAATATAATGAAAAAATTATTTTATAATCTATATGAAATTTAATTATGAGTGAAAAAAGTTTTTCTAAATTTTTGATAATTAGAACATTATCATTGATTTTTTATTTATAATTTAATTAATAACACTGAGAAATATCAGATAAGATCTGAAAGAGATTGATTTTTTTTAGTTTTACTAAATTTCAAATGTCCTAATTTACTTTTCATTATGTCCGATTAGAGTAAGGTATTTGGTGAGAAGACAAGATTATACATGTAAATTTCCCAACATTTTGACGGGTCGATAAAAATTTGTGCATTCTTATTGGTTATTGACGAAAACTTGCGACTCCTATTGGATGAATTACAGATTAAGAAATTTTGAGATAAAACCGAATATAGTAATTAAAATTCGATTTTCGCTAATTATCGTTATATTTGGTTGGTTTTAACATGTTAAATTATTATCAAATTTGTTTAGAAGAGTGGGAGAAGCTCATGTGCCCCTGCAGGCGTGAGTTTAGCCATCAATCTCATGACATCATAAATAATCATATGTATAATGTCAATCATGTATAATAAGTTAATAAAAGTCGAACGATTTGTACTATTCGTATTGATGACAAAGTAAATTATGTGGCACTAATAAATGCCGCAAGATCACCTCATTGTATTTATAAAAGCACAATTCAGTCGCTTTGAAACTAGAAGTTTCGGTTTTTCTAAGTATTTTCTTTTTTCATATAAATAGTCATCAACAAGAACATTTAAAATGTCTTTATCGCAAATAGCAAAAGAAACGGTTTGCGATTCTACAAATCAACTTTTACATAATTACCACAGCCAAAATCACATTCATCAAAGTGTAAAAACAAAAATCAATAACGAAACCACCACAAAGGTTCAAAGTAAGCCATTATCGTCCCCATCCTCACGATCGTTACTCGGAAATCTTAATTTTGGTCTCGCTAGCAACCGAAAACAATCCAATCATCATCACATACTAAAGAAATCTGTGAACGTAAATAATTCAATTCTCTCGCCTAGTGACATCAAACATATAAGCTCATATGCTCGTACCATTGATACTTCAAAAAAGGAATGGATCATAAAACATCGTCGATTAGCATCAAATCTTTTAGATATATTTAAGGAAGGAATAACTCGTGGCGATAAGGACACACTTCTGGCTTCCGAAATAAGAAAATTTCTTCGTGCTAATGAGAACCCTGAAGATGACGTAGTATCATTCATACAAGAAAGGTCGAAAAATGCATTAAACACATGCTTTCTAGCATACTGCTATGAGTTCGGAATCGGGCTATCGAGAGACTTGCAAAAAGCATTCAACTTATATAAAAAATCTGCAGAAAGTGACAATCCGATTGGTCAATTCTGTCTTGGTCTCTGTTTCTATGAGGAGAAAGGAATGCGACAACACGTTAGTAAATCTTTATTTCGAAAAGATGAGAGTGAATGTTTTTATTGGATGAGAAAATCCGCAGAAGCTGGGTTCTCAAGAGGTCAATGCAGTCTCGGATACTGTTACGTGCGTGGTATAGGCACAGAACAAGAAGACAAGAAATCACTTTACTGGTTTGGGAAAAGTGCCGAAGGTGGGTGTGCCCTTGGACAAGCCAATCTGGGATTATCTTATGAGAAAGGAATCGGCACGGAAAAAGATATGGACAAGGCGTTTTATTGGTATAAAAAATCGGCGCAAGGGGGAAACTCGAAAGGACAATGTTGTTTGGGTTTATGTTACGATGAGGGAATCGGTGTTTTGACTGATAAGGAAAAAGCTTTTTATTGGTATCAGCGGGCAGCGGAGGGTGGAAACGCTGATGGAAAATATTATTGCGGGAATTGTTATTTGAATGGAAACGGAACGAAGAAAGATGAAATAAAAGCGCTACATTATTACCAAAAATCTGCAGAGGATCAAGATGCGGATGGAGAATGTATGTTTTTTATCAAATTATACATGTCTTTTTTATTTTATAATGTTAATGTTTTTAATGTTACGTGTTTAGGTATGCTTGGATACTGTTATCAATTCGGCTGGGGTACACAAAAAGACTTGCATAAAGCAATAAAGTGGTATCTATCCGCAGCCAAAAACGGAAATGTAGCTGCTTCTGAAGTACTGATCACACTCTTTTATTAATCACCAAGTTCGTGCATGTATAAATTCCGCTATATCTAGATTAACGTGTATTGCATTGCTAATCTTGTTAAAGGAGAATTATCAAATTACATAGAATGTTTTTTTTTTGTTTAGCATGTATTTATTTAAGAGATAAATCAAACTTCTTTGTCTTGTCTACCTTTAAAATGATGATGTTATACGAGCAAAGCATTTTGTTTTTAATAGCAAGCTGGTATAAAATTCTTTGGAACAGCAGCAGTCAGTTATATGCAAGGAACTATAGGAAAAATTGAAACATATTTCATAACACCAGAGTTCAAAGTTAAAATAGAAGCAATTCATAAACATGAGAAAAACTACAGTATAGTAGTCATGAAAGAAATTTTAGGTCAGAAAGAGAATAACAATAAGTATTTCTGAAACTTTTTGCATCAAAAAATAATGAATTTTAATAGTATAAAAAGCACATATAAAAGATAATAGCTAGCTTATTTCTGCAGGTTAAAATTATTTTTAACAGCTAAACGTAAAACTTGGGCGATTTGTACTCCTGTTGGATTTTCAACAGTAATTGAAATCTATTTTTCTATCGTTAAAAAGCAAAAAAAAAAATACTCTTGGTATCTATTGAAATGTTCAAAATAACTATATGAAACTAGAAATATATCATTTATAAATTCTATTTTAAAGATGCATTTTCTTCTGAGACAAATATGTTACTTTACCTAGCGTGCTTCGAAGCCTTATCGTTGAAATTCTAATCGGGTCACCTTTATTATTACTTTTGAATTCAACGGACGATACGTCGAGGCTTTTTTTGCTCAATTATCTAGCTCGGTTGTAGACTATCCGCTTTCTGATTTCGTTAGCCATAACCGCTTAACGCTAATCAATGATCTATCTTTTTACAGAGATACCTGATTATACTAATACATTAATTTGTATTATCCATTGCTAACGCACATAAATTTAAATTTAAAAAGGAAAAATAAACAGCATTGAAATATAGACTAATTATTGTAGTATGTAAAATTCATAGTTCGCTATTTCATATTCTTGGTTTTCTTTTGGCTTTCTTGAGTCGTAAATCCCATCGAAATGCCATATGTTTATCCGTTTGAACACCACGTCCTTCCGAGTAGCAAACACTCACTTGATCATAAGCACTCAAATGACCTTTACAAGCGGAACGGTAAAAACAAATAAAATATTTCCTGTACTGTTTATCGGACAAATACTTATTAGTCAGATTCAAATATCCATGTACATGACCCCCGTCCGCAGCTTTTTTATAAAACTTTGTGCAGTATTTGGAATCCCGGTCATGATGTGGATGAATAAAACCCACTTGATTAGCCGCAAATGCATCGGATCCAGCCGCTGCGATAAGATAAAAGCGCAACGCCTTTTTTGAATCCCCAGTGGTCCCGAGTCTACATTGTTCAAAAAATCCTAGAAGACATAACCAGTATGCGGGAGAACTCAAAAAATTCTTTTTTAGTATTTGATAAATTCTTTCGGGCGTCTGGTCGTTCTTTTCGCACCATCTTTTTAGTGCCATGGCTATGTCGAAATCATCTTCTGTGTTGAGTGTTTCTGCGTCATGTACTGCTTTTATTTGTTTTATTAGAAGTTTATCGTGGTCGGATGCCTCATCAGAGAATGGAAACTCTGCTGTGTTGTGATGCAGATATTTTGGAGACTCGGGTATTTGTGCAGAGTGAAAGTTTATAGGTCCACTATTACAACCGAGACTCCAATGTTTAGGAAATTTGGTATCGCAGACATTTATATAGTTATTGTCGCTGAGCATTATTTTTTGGGACGGTGGTTTATTGTTATTCCTCTCAATGTTAAATGCTGATTTTGTTTGTTGAACAACATACAAATCAATCAGTCACACGCAAATGTCACACACTTGTGCTTTATGATTACATTATTTTAAAACAAAAATTACCATACCACAGCAGATTTGCCTGATAATTTTAATGTCAGTACTTTTGCTTTGAATGGAAATTTTTATAAATACGCAGCAGGAGGGAAGAAGAAATTAAGTTGGATGGATAAAGTGGATTTACATTTAAAAATCAGTTAAATTACGAAATTTGACCGGCTAAGGGAAAAATCAATCGCTGATTGGATAAATTTTTGATCAACCCGGCAAACAAATCCGACACAACCTATCTTTTTACATTAATTCGGATTTCAACCCTAACCTTTCCTTAATCCTAATTTTTACTAAAAAAAAAGCTTTATACTGAGGGTTCAGCGATTGGTCTATATAGCTTTACTGATGAAGATTACCTAAAATAAAGGGGAATTTTAATATTAATTATATTACAAAGATGTTTTTCCGGGGAATCAATGATTTGTCCAATCAGGGAAAATTTGTAGTAAAATCGACCCACTCTTATTTGTGTAATTTTAACGGAATTTCATGTAGTATTGGCGTCTTGTATCACTGTATACAAAGTACTAGATTTAATCGTCCTATAACCTGACCTATAACCTGTTTTAGTAATCTTCTTCGTTCCCGATAAAAAAGAAACACAATGTATTAACATTGTTTCGGCACCCTCGAACAGAATTTTTGTATTCCTATATATAGTATTGAATAAAATAGCATTTGATATAATCACACCCTATTCGTAATACATGTATTATACATTTCAATTCAAAATTCTTAGTAGAAGACTATACTGATTACAAAGTATATATTTTTGGAAAACCAAAAGACGTTGTTACTTACTGTTTTTTCATGTCTTCAAATCGATATCCTCTCTTGGAAGAGAACGCATCATCATTATAAGGTATGGTGAGATAGACTCGCAGAAACCAAATCGTTATTTGAAATTTGTTGGACGCAATTTACTCGTTCGGATTTCTTGTTCTAACTCTTATTTGACGAGCACAAATGATTTTGAATAAAGTTTCATTCTTTGTATAGGATGAGGTTTTCAAAATTTTTGTTGCTAGTTCAGATTTAATGACTTGTTCATTAAGCTAAAAAAAACATATACATATACTTTTCAATATTTAAAACATATTTACCCCATATAAAAAATATTTCTTTAGTTTTATTAGACAGTTCTTGCATTTTTAATTCCTAAAAAGAAAAATTTATATGTTGCCTGAAATTTTCTTATGCATTTATTACATCATTTTTGATTGGGGGTTACTTTTGATATAATAAAAACAAAGACTTATGCACATGGTTTTTTATAATTCGCGCTTTTAGTGATATAACATTGAAAATAAGTTTTCGCTCTTTAGGATCATCAACTTAAATTTTCAATATTGTAAGCATGCACATGTAACGGTAACGGTAATAATACGTTACATGCAATACGTAAATGCCGATACTGTTATGTATGCGCATTTTCTTCGACGTTTCACATATTGCTTATCACAGCTACCCCACTCAGATTATACAACGATAAAGATCGAAACCACAATTTGAAGATACTTAAATCACGATCGCATATAGATAAAAAACGTGAGTTTTTTTTTGGAAGTAATTTAAGGAGAAAGCTTTAAAATTTACCACGATAAAAATAGAAGAATTACAATTTTATGAATGAATTGTGCGTGTGATATGCAGTACGTATTAAAAGTGTTTCGTAAGAAGTCATTTGAGAGAAACAGAACGTACGCGGAGAAATTCGTGAATAAGACACGGGAAGTAAAAGCCGTAAAAGACAATATTCATCATTTTGAATGGATTAAAAAGTTCAACAATAACATCAATTTCTAATTCATTCGAAACAACATTTCAATCGTTAGATGACAAAACAATCGTAGAAGAATTTCGAGTTTTGATTTTTTATCAAGATTTTAACAAGAAATTTTTGTCCCTTTTTTGTCATTAAATATTAATAATAAATCTTTTTACCAAAGAACAATTTGTTGATCGATATTGTTGTTTGCCTCAATTTAAAGTTATTTACGATTTGCAATGCGCGTAATGACGCCATGTATTTTTCTTATTCTCTCGTTATTTTTTACATCCTTGTTGATTTCTTATCTTTATGCACACAAAAATTAATTCACATTGTCACCAAAAATAAAAACAATCGATACGTGCGATAATCTCGCCAAGTCACTCATTCATTCATACCAAATTTGACAAGAACTGATTTTCCTTGTCTAATTAAGAAGAACAAAGTGATTGTCAGGTTCTTTGTTTTCCAAGTCAACAGAAAGAACCACGTTACATTAATCTGCAAGGGAAAAAGATTTCTTTTGTGGAGAGAACGTGCAAACAAACAAAAGATGTCAAATGCAATAGTGCCGCCGCCTCGAAAAAACGAGAATGACGATAAATAAAAGATATCACAAACATCACAAGACGTATGAAGGACAAAGATATCATGACACCGCGTACTCAATAAATGTCAAAATGTGGCGCCAGGAAATTGGATAGCGATGGGTGTCAAGGAAACTTTGGTCACAAAAGGTCAAGCGGATTTGCCGTTGATATGTTACGCACATGACACACGTACAAATTTTACCGCAGATTTCTTATTAAATCAGGAACCAATCAAGGTTTCATCATTATATATCGATATTATATCAGATGTGTACATGTATATATGCTAGGCACTAGCGCATATACAGAAAGACGGAATCACAAGAAACACAAGAGCAAGGATTTCCCACGCGAAACAACAACTAACTGCGTGGCTAAGCAACTGAATTATAATGATAGGAAATTTTGTTGTGTGTGGCTCCCCAATTTCACAAAACGGAATTCAGTTTGCGAGAGTCAAAGTTACACATGGCAGATATATATATAACTACGCAAAAGCTGCGTGCTTACGTATTGCTATATACTCTTTAGATAGAAAAAGTTAACCGAAATTTCTTGAACATTTTTTATTACTATACACTACTATTAATATTTTTTTATTTTTTATTTATTAAAAATAACAAAATAAGCATATTTAGAATAACGTTAACAAAACGCGCGTGAGATCTATCAATCATGACTCATGATACATTCCGAACTTTCCGAAAGAGAATGACTGACCGATTGCTGCGACAACCAAAACCAATAAATAGATGATACATCGCACTGTTTGTCCAGACTCATAACCAGATATGTTTGTCATAGTCTACTATGACCAAAGCTGAGAAGTTTTATACCAACACCATCACCCACTACTGCTACTAAAACAACAGAGCAAACTTTAATTTATTATACCTTTTTTGACTAAAAGGTTAGACATCACAAGCCATTTCGTCGACTTATTATTGTTGGAGACATTCCTAATAATTAATTATTCTTGAGGAAACACGCTTTGCTCTCTCACATATACTTATCTCTTACATACACACACACTGTATATATTACCTCGACGATATTTTTGAATTTTTTTCTCTTACATAATGTTTCCTTCAGACCAGTCGAAAAATGCTCGTATGTCTTCCTTCTTTCCCTCGCTGTGCGATATCATGTAAGTCTTTTTGGACAGTTTCCATTTGTCCCATTATCCTCAGACTCACGCTCATCGTTGCTTTATTCAGTCCTACACCTCCGAATCAAACTTCTCACCACCATTTTACACCCGAAACAGGTTAGTGGTTGTGTTAATTGAACAGAATAATTGTTATTTAGAGATACGATTCTTGACAGAATACATTTCAAATAAATGAAAAAAAATTTAGAAATTGAATCGACAGCTACTTCATTGAATTGGAGCATAATCAATAAAGATTGGGAAAATTCTGATGCAATCATCGCTTACAACGATACGCTTTACATATTCCGCAACGACCTCTTCAAAGTCGATGCAAAGAGCATCTCAAAACCGGAAAAAGTTTTGAGTGGCGTGGGCCCAATTATTGCCGCCACTAGATTCAGAGATTACATATACGTATCAACACAAACCGGAGAAATATTACGCATCAACCTTTTAAACCTTGAATCAGAATGCGTTATCAACCATTTGAACAATGTATGCACTCTTGTCAGCTTCGAAAACAGCATTCTCGCATTCGGCGACAAACTTTGGCGAATCAATACTTCTGACGGACAATGCGAAATTTTAACTAGCCATAATTGGGACTCGACCGTATCCGCTGCCGTGTTAAATGAGTGTGTTTACGCAGTTACTACGTGCGGAGACCTGTGGAAAATTGATTTGCGAGACTATGCTGCTAGAGTGATTAATAAGGGCGGACAAACTCTAGATTTGATTCTGGCGTATCAGGACAACTTGTACTTGTTTTCAAAGAGTCTTTATAAGGTCAATACGGACGGTTCTTATGAGAAAATAGGTGACAACGTAAATGGAATCTTGACAGGCGTTTCATCTAATGATGCGATGTACGTCATATTTAATTCCGGTGAACTTTTTATGTTTGAAGAGGATTCCGAGATCATTAATTTTGATGAATAACACACACACGGTTATTTTTTTTGTGTAGTTCTTTTTTCTCTTCTCTATTCTACTCTTGTGTTTTATATTTCTTGATTCAGAATTTTTCTATGCCAAACTTATTCTCAAATTTATTTATGTTTATTTACAGCTTATACTTCCTTTATTACGCTTCATTTCTGAAGGTATCTTCTCACCTCACACGATTAATTTAATTAATTATTTTTATTACGTAGTGGTAGTTGGTTCTATATCGATTTCTTAAGAAAACTTTTCAGCACCATAAGCATCTACTTTTTACCTCCATGCATACATACATACAGTCATATCGATATACTTTTGGTCAAGCAATTGACCAAAGTAATTTTTTTTCCATCTCTGAGACGGGTTCATGGCTCAGAGAGAAGAGATAATCGATGCTGACTGTTATGAGCGTATACATGTGATTGTCAAAATAAAATGCTCTCTGTATTATTTAGTAATGTCCATGTATAATAAGTTAAGACTTTTATGTTATTTATGTTAAGAAATACGTATATAGCATTTTAGAGATTTTTTTTTGGTTTACTTTCTTCTATTCTTTTTTCTTCAATATTTAGTTATAGCGACATATTTTCTATCCATTTTTATATATAGTAGATTTTTATATTAAGCTTTTCATAATAAATATTGTATAAATATTGGGAATTGGGACACGCAAAGTTTTTTTTTCAATGTAATGGTATCACTTACATGAATGTGAAACCAGAACAAGCTTTGCCTAAAAATGGCCACATGCAACTATCCAACTCTTAATTAGTACACCTGACATTTTTACAAGGGATGAGAATGGAGAATTTAATTTCATGAACACCAATCAAATTCGTGCAAGTTTACCTATATCATTGGCATTAAAAATTTAATTTCATGAACACCAATCAAATTCGTGCAAGTCCATATCATGGGCATTAAAATATTGTTATAGAAAAGCTAAATAGGATTTTTTTTTCATTAAATATTAAAACCTGGTATTGATGAAAAATTCAATCACAACAAAACTCGATTCTCGTCCCGCACAAAGCCTAGAATTGAGGTTGCTTTTGGATTCTGAATTTGGACCAGATAAACTCGAAAATCTAAGAGCAATTCTGCGAAGCTTATTTGCTAAATCAGAATTGGAAGAAAATTTCAACCTACGTTCAAAGATAACAAATGCTCGATCTTCAACCGTTGTCCAAAAGTATCGGCTTTACAATCAGCATATAGAACTCATCTGTCGTGTTCTAGTTGCTCTATCAATAAAACATGTACTTAAAGAGAAAACAACAATAATGATCACGAAAAAAAATAATTCATTCTCTAAAAATCACGATCCACTTGCATTTCAGGTGCAGATGAGACAAAATCCTAAGTCGATCCTCTGACCTAACTACTGTAGAACAAGCCGAGTTGAAATTTTCACGATCCGGTTCTGGAACGTCAAAAGTGGAGTGGTTTTACCGTTACTGATTATCAAATTTCACGCTGGGCATTTTTACTTGTCATAGTAAAGTTTCAAGTTAAGTTTGTTACACTTAATTAACGGTTCTGTTCTTGTGAATTGCTTGGCCACCTACAAATGCTCATATGCTCGGAAAATCTCACCTACATCCGAGCGGAATAATTAAGAACAAGAATAATGCTAATAACTCAAAATTTACTATTACAACCTGCTTTAGTGATCTAAATAAAAAGTTCTAGAATTTAATCTTGCATATATTAATGTACTTTTGATATAGTTTCTTAAGCTATATAAGAGTTGGGACATTTTGGGACAAGCCCAAAAATACCTAAAACATCATATTTACGTCTGATTTTAATGTAGATCACACACCTTTCTAGTCATCCATTTTTGAGTTTTCAGTTATGATTATAAATACAAAAAATCTCTATAGTTATATCTCTATAATCACCCAATTTTGTTTTCCAGTATAAAAAGATTTATAATAAATTTTTTCAGATGTTTATAAAAACTTTATCTTTTAATCATTTTATTTTTCATTTATATATGATTTAAATTTATTATATTTAATATATATATATATTAAAAGTTTTTTTAACAGTCTCCTTTTTATAAATCTTTAAATAAATAAAAGATTTAATACTTTATTTTGTTTATAAATAAATTTTATTAGTAATAAATATAATTGTATTAATATTTAATTTAGTAAATTATATTTTGATCTTTTAAAAAGCAATTAATATTAAAAGACCAATATATATTATCTTAATTTTATATATATTTTATAATATTATAATTTATTAAAATCTCAGATTCCTTCTCTTTTCTCTAATATAAGATAATATATATTAGCACTTTTAGTATTTTTAAATTTTAATTTCAAATTAAATTGAATTTTATTCGAAATTGAAATTAAACTTGAATTTTAATTCAAATGTAAATTTTTTTAAATTTAATATTATTAAATAAAGTAATAAAGTTATAAACTTTTTTAAATTTACTATAATTTAATAAAAAAATTATCTAAAAAATATAAAATTTATATATATATATATTTTAATATTTATTAAAAATTTTATTTATTGAATAATATTAGTATTATTTTTTTAAATAATTTTTTTAAATTAAAAAATTAATTTTAAAAATAATTATAAAAATTTTATTATAAAATTCACTAATTAAAGTTTCATAAAAATGCAATACAAAAAATTTGCTTATAATTTAATAAATAAGTTTACTTATCAAAATTATTTTTAAAAAATAAATTTTAAAAATATTTTGAACTTTAATTCATTTATAAGAAATATTACTAAGACTTTTTATTAGTAAATTATATAATAAAATTTTCTTAATTGTTTTTTAAAATTAATTTTTTAATTTAAAAATTAATTAAAAAAATAAGATTAATATTATTTAGTAGATATTTTTAATAAAATATTAATAATATATATAAAAAGTTTTAATAATTTTTTATTAAATTATAATAAATTTAAAAAGTTAATATTTTGTTACTAATTATATATATAATTTATTTATTTTAATTTTATATAAAAATAAAAATTAACTAATAAAAATATTAATATTTAATTTTTTTAATTAGAGTATTTTATTAAAAATTATAAAAAATTATATTTTACTATTTAAAATCTAAGAATTTTTATAAACTAATAATATAAAATAATTATAATTATATAATTTAAATTTTTTAGTTATTAAATAATAAAATTAAAAAAATCTTTTAATTACATTTTTTATTAGAAATTATATAGTATTTATTGAAATTCATAATTTTGGCAAGTAATCTTATATATAATTATCTTATAATTATTTTAAGTTATTAATTAAAAATTAAAAAAATAAATTGAATTTTCTGATAGTTTTAAATCTGAAAATAATAAAAGAATTATATTAATCAGAATCAGTAACTTTCATTTTTTTTTCATAAACTTTAAAAATTATCTATAAATTCTAATAAAATGACATCTATTATTTAGAAAAATAATATAATAACAAATTTTCATATTTTATTTAGATCTGAGAACAATTATTAGTCACATGTTATTATATTTTGCATATCAAATAATAACTATTTAAGTATATGTCAGAATAATTTTCATAGAATTATTCAAATTTTGCTAATTTCTTAATGAAATAGTGCCCAGCTATAAGATGTTATGCATGTTTTAGATATGTATTCAAGCTTATTATAGTGATAAAAAACTGAATACTAATAGCTACATTCCTTCAATTATCTAATCCATTATTAAAGGAGGGTTGTGATCTTTTACTGGTTTCAAGATTATCTGGTCAGATTTGAAAAATCACAGTAAGAGTAGTTAAATCAAGAGTTGGTTGATTACTAGCTTAATAATATAATTGTCTTTGATCACTCAAGTTCTGCATTCTTTACAGTTCTAGCTATATTTTATTGAAGTATATAGATTTATTTATTTATTTCTAAAACCATATTAATATAATCAAAATTTATAAACGCAAGAACTCTCTAATGTAGTTTATTGAATTGATTGATACATTTTTCAACTATATTTATTGTTGTAATTTGTTGCCAAATTTTGATTTTATTTTGAATTGAGAATTTGAGAGTAAATTTGTTTTCGAATTCATGATTATTATGATATTTATTCTTCTATTTCTATAAAAAAATTCATAAAAAATCGCCTAAGAATTATCTGCTTGTAATCTTAGCTTAAACCCTTTTAACATTATTTATATGTTTATTAAGCTCTTACAAACATTATTAATCTATTTAAATTTCTACACAGTCGGTATAGCGATAGTAAATGTTACATGTATTCAATTAATTATAATTTTTTGCAAGATGTTCTCATAATATATTGTTAACACCGACACTAGCGCTCGTATTTTTTTATTTTGATTATAGCAGAATCTTGTATAAATAACAAACTACACTTTTCGGTAGGAAAGACTTCATACTCTTGTACCATTTTCCCAAAATGTTTCATGTAGTTGCAATAAGCCAACAAAAGATTATTCACTTTCTCATACAAAATCTTTTGGCACACTAACTCACTCAATAACCAAATAACAATAAATTGTTGCCTTTGTACATGCCCACCTTAATCTTGCCTCGCCCAATTCTCAAATTATACAATACCAAAAATCTTATTTGCCGCAAAAAGTTACTTTGAAGAATCGGTTTTTTAATTTGTTAACATGATACAAAAATTACATGAACTATAAAATAACGATAAACTCTATTGCTATAAACTAATTAAAATTCGCAAAGTTTTTTTTTCTAAAATGAGAAAGGAATTTATACATGTATATATATATAATATATATATCGATATATCTAAAACACATTATTTAATTCAATGTTAAGCTTTTTAATATTATTTTCTAAAATTTGAGTCATATTTTTCAAAATCAATTGTTCTTTCGCACCCATGATTATGAAAATTTCCAACTTATGCGAACTCGTCCTGCGCTCCTACTTGCGATTTTATCAAATGCCGATGGTGAAAGATCCAAACTACCATATTCACAATCTGCACACTTTACAAATGTAGAAATAAATCAAAATTAAAAAAGAATGTCGAACTAAAAAGTGATTTAAAAATAGAATACCCACCATATCTACAACTTTAACAGTAACATGTCCTTTTGGTCCATTAACTGTGATCTTTTTACCACAAATTTTGTTACTATTCGTATTTGTAGTGGATCCCCATTGTGCTTTGTTCTTTTTAAGTGATTAGAATTATAACAATAACGATAACGTTAATTCAAGATCACAGCAAACAGTAACGATAACGATATATAATCAATTATTGAAACAAACTTACAATAGCTACAACTATATCCGTATCGCTGTTATATTTTCCACACGCACCTAATCCAGTATTATAATAAGTCGCTTCTCCAAAAAACATGCCATTTTTTTTCGTGAGTACCGGGGAACAATTCACAAATGTACTTCGAGGTGATAATGTTAACACTGATATTAACAGCACTATTGCTATTACTCTCTTCATTTTGTTACGTAGCAAGTGTTTGATAATTTGGTTTTAATAGTATTACGAAATGAAATAATAAACTACGAAAAATAATTTTCTCCAGTTCGGCACAAACACAAAAAAAAAGCGTAAAAAATAAATCAACCGGCCAATTTCTCTCCTTTTTTATTACCAAAAATAGATTCTAGCGCAAAAGTAAAATTGTGTATGTATATATTAAATGGATGGGATGGATCAAATGTATTACGCATCAGAAAACTTTTTTTTACTATCCTACTATTATAATACACTATGCGTAACTACCTTTTCATAAAGCTTTTTGGAAAAAGAAAAGGTGAGAGAAAAAGTATTTGGCAGCAACCATTTTATAGCAATCTTTGAGATGCGTGTATCTGTTGCATACATTCGACCATCTGTGCAAACTTTTCATAAAGAGTTTATACGCTGTGTGCACGAACTCTACGTTGATTTTTTTGATAATTAATTAATTAATTGATTGTTGAGTTCTGCACATACATGTAAACGTTTTATGAAATTTATTTCTTATGCATATATAGAATGATAACGATAAAAGTTTACAAATGCCATGCCATGTGTACAGGTTTGTTAACGAGTTAGAATTGTTTGATTTTTTGGGTAACGACGAAATACTCTTATTTTTCCACCGACTTGTTCGTATAAGGTTAGAAAACTTGGATCTAATAGGTTAATAATAAGATGTTCTAATAGGTTAATGATTAGATGGTTTGTTTTACCATAATGGTTATCGTTATAATAATATTTAAAATCGGAACTTTAAAATTTTTCCACAATCATCCAAACAATGAAAAGCAATTTAATTTAATTAAACAATGCTACACTAAACTCCAGCCCTTCCACTACATGACCATATTCGAGTAGTTTCCAGACCAAAATCTGCCAACATCCATTCTATCAGCCCACCCTTGCGATACCACATGAACGCTTCGTGCACATCTTTTTTCGTACCAATTCCACGTAGATAGCAGCGTGCGGTGATGACAATTGAGTTGGCATGATGGAAGCAATGGGGAGTTGAGATTAACGAGTGTTCGTGGCCAACTTTTGCAGCACTATGATTCCAGTAAAACGCTTTAATAGGGTTTGGTCGTGTGTTTTGATAATAGTATGCGAGATTTTGCTTTCGTTTTATTCCGAGGTCACCATTTTTTATTGATTGTTCGTACCAAAACTACAATACACGTGTTAAATATTGCTTGATTTCTCTAGCGTAAACAATTGTAAATATTTCAAAGACAAGGGTAATAAAAATATACCGCAGCCAAATCCAAATTCATAGCAATGCCCGTACCACGAACATAACAATCACCTAACTTCATCTGCGCAAAAACATCCTTTCTTTCCGCGCCACGTTGATAATACTTGAAGGCTTTTTCTAGCTGCTTATCCGTTCCAATACCATTCTCCAGAAAAAACCCAATCATCGATATATACTCACTCTCCTCATCATCATTCATTGTCCCAACTAACATCTCGAAAACATTTTGACTGGTTATTGGAAGAGTGTCAAGATATTTCTCGACACTCTCAAGAAGCGTTTCGTATTTTCGACCAGGGGTATCAACGGACCAGTGGATGAATTTTTCGAGTTTTTGGAGTAGTTCCATTTTTTATGTTACATGTATTTTGATAAATTTTTTGTTCGATTTGCTTTTGTATTTTATACGCCGCCGAAGATCGTTACCTTGCAGTTACGTGCCACCACATCTTTTCATGCAAACGCAAACATCATACATGTGCCTATATCGGGTCGTATATGGATATGTATATTTCTATAACGATAACGATAAATTTTAATTACGTAAAGTGAAAATTCTCTTGCCATTTGTTCTTGAAATTATGAATAATGAAATTAATATCAACTATAACAGATACTTTATACACATGCATTTGGAAAAGTAACAATATATTAAAAGACATTTATCCCCGCCACAACAGAAAACGGATAGCCGTCTCATTTCCATTCCCATAAGCGCGACGCAAATACTTGAAAGCATCATGCAAATCGCGTGATACACCACGCCCACTCCAATACATCGCTCCAAGGGTAAACTGCCCGTGAGAATTCTCCAGTTGCGCCGACCTCCGATACCAATATGCAGCTTTATATAGATCAACTTTACCACCATGTCCTTTTGAATAACACTTCGCCAATGAATTCGCACCGCTAGCATCCCCGCCTTCAGCAGCAATGCGAAACCATATGCGTGATTCTGCTTCATTTTTTTGGGTACCGATTCCTCGACCAAGACAAAACCCAACTGCTAACTTCCCAGACATGTTTTTAGGGGCGTTTGCTGATTTCCGGTACCATTGAAATGCGGCCTTGTGATTCGTTTTTGTTCCGATGTTGTTATGGTAGCAGAATCCGAGATTGTATTGTCCTAATGTGAATCCGGATTCTGCGGATTTCTTTGCCCATAAGAAGGCTTGCGACTCATTTTTTTCTGTTCCGGTGGCGGTTCGATAACATCTCGATACGAAGTTTTGTGCGTATTTGTCATTACGGAGTGCTGCTTCATGGTATAAATTGAATGCTAAATTCAATTTAGGTGTTGTTCCAATTCCATATTCATAACAGAAACCTAGTAGTGCTTTATTCTTTGTTGTCGCCGAGGTATCAGTTATTATGTTTTCTAGACATTGAACCAGGTCTGATGGCGAGACCAAATCCTGTTGTAGGGATTCTGGAAATTGGGATACCATCTTTTTTATAGATACTCCAAGATCAAGACTCTCAAAAAAGTAATCTTGGATTCGTATTATAGTTATTGCTTGTAACGGAAGTTGGTTTATTTGTAACTGTTGGTTTGGTTGTAGTTCATGAGGATTATTAGAATTTATTCCAGAGGTCAGTGATGTCAAAGACAAGGACGAAGATGATAAAAATTCGTCCTGCCGTAAAAGTTCTGTACTCTCAATTACTTTACCAAAATTTTGGTCCAATATTTGTTGTGAAATTTCTCTTGCCATAATTTTTTCAATAATAATACATGTAATTTTGATTTTTCAAGTTCGTAGTATGATCGATGTATGACCAATGATGTTTACTATAACATGTACAGTATTTTTATTGGATGAAGATCCTAATTGGAATAGGATCGTTGCGAATCCGATTCGGATAACATAATATCCTTCTAACTTCTAACGACAATATTCTAAATCCCAATTATTTGTTTATTGACCAACTCTATATCCAGGAATCAACAAAAAATAGATTAATTAAATAAAAATTAATGAAAGGGGAGATTTACCGTAATCTGTCATTTAGAATACCCTCCTATAGTATCATATCCTCCATGAATTGTACACGGTACAATGCGTAACGTACCTCCTTGTAATTTTGGTCAAAATAGGTTAATTCTGGCAGAAACTGTCATTTCTATATACCCTCTACCGAACAGTGTATCCCTAGATACAAATCGGATTTTGGCTGATGGAATGTAACATACTCGGGGTATTCTAAACGGCAAATTACGGTAATATGAACATGCATGATGCAAATACCTTCCACTTTTCATAGCCCAACGGAATCCACGATGATAATCCAAAAAAGTTCCATTTCCTTCAAAATAGCAAGTAGCAATTGAATATGCAGCTCTCGGGTTTCCACCCTCGTGCGCTTTCATGTACCAATAAAAAGCTAGTCGATAATTGCGGGGACAACCCAGTGCAGAATGATAGTGATAACCTAGTGTTCGCTGACCGCATATATGACCGTTCATCGCCGATCTTTGAATCCATTCAAAGCCGGCCTTAAAGTCTCTAGTTGTGCCTATCCCAAAGTGGTAACAATATCCGAGTTGGTTTTGTCCAAATGCATCACCGGATTCTGCAGATATTTTATAATCTTCGAATGCGAGTCTATAGTTAATCCGTGTACCTATACCGTAGTGGTATAACAGTCCGAGGATGCATGCGTATTTTTCGTAACTATTTTTGGTGTCATTTTCAGATTTATAGTTAAATAGTGTGCCGATGCGAGCGTAGCGAAACATTCCGAGGATGGATGTGTATTCATAATTATTTTTGTTGGTACCGGTGTAGTTTTTTTGTTTGTGGTCAAGTAGTAAATTGAATATTTGTTCGCGGGTTAAGTTTTTCTTGAGAAGCCAATTGTCTATTGCTTCGATTAGATGCTCGTCGGATGCTCCGGGGTCAGGTATTGAGTAAAATATTTCGTAAAGTTCTTCAAGTGTTTCCATATTTATTTAAACTTATAGTGATAAGTATTTTACAGTAATGTCTGTGCATGCACTGTAATTAAACAAAAATACGAAATAAGGTGTAACCCATTGATTTCCTGGAGGGTTTCCTTTTATTATCATTGTGTAGCGGTAGCTCGAAATTTTGTGTACATGTACACGTAAATTGGTTTACAACTTACAGAAAAATTAAATATTTCGGTCTAAAATACAAAAAATCAGTTTTTTCCTCTGGCAAAATGATTTTATTTATCATCATTGATCACGTTAAGAAAACAACCCACTTTACTACTTGCGACGACGTTTTGATAAGCTAAGTACAACAATTTGTAATCTTCTGCTTCCTTGATATGTTTTTGATAATTCGAGAATTGTATTTAGTTTATAGTATAGTATATAGAATTCCTTAAAATATATACTTTTCTCTTAAACAAATCTTATCTATGAATCCCATTATAATTGCGAACTTTGTAATCAAATTTCAAAGATATATAAGCTAATAGAAATGGTTGTTTGCTTTCAGATATTTATTCTGACAAGTGGGGAAAATGTTTATGAACACTCTTTTTAGAATTCAGCATTTGTAATAAAGAAAAAAATAAAACACAAGGCCTCATTTTTGACATACCTTCACTTGCACCAATTCATAATTTCAAAAACGAAAGATGTCGGAAACACAAATAAGAGTCGCATTATTCGAGAAAAAATTCAGTCCAGATGAAATATCTTCGCCATTTTCCTCTTCTTTCTCTTCAGTTTCAACAAATCTATGGCGAGACTTACGACCAGTTGAGTCCCTTCATGGCCCTCAATTCTGGCCAACATCCAAACCGTTAGCACAGAAATCTTCAGATGTCGCGTCAGAGCGTAGTAATGATTCGCGAAAACAGATTAAAAGATTTTTTACTAAAATTTGGAAAAAAGTGAATTCGGGTGATATTTTGGTAAAGAAAAGGAGTAGTTCGTCGACAGAAAAGAGTGAGGATTCCGATAATGATGAAGCAGAGGAAGAAAGCTTAATGGGCGGAATCGATATCTCAAGATTTCGTGATGATTTACAAGAAGGAACATCAACAGGGTCTAAAAAGAATAGCATACAATCTAGCAATATTAAAGCCAAGCGCGCTCAAGAGGCACAACACCCCAAGAAAAGAAAGCTGATAAAATGCCTTGACCTGAAATATACACCCTTTCTAATTACGGATGATTTATATATATTAACGACACCGGTAGAATTCACACCGAATAAAGAAGCAATTTCTCGCTTCCACACGATTTCATATCCACCGCGACGAAATCTAAATCCGCGATGGACACCGGATGAACGAATTGCACGACGCGTGCCAAATGTTCTTTTTCATGTTCACGTATATTGGAACTGGCCACTAGAATTTCATGTTGCTTTACCACGCGATGTATCATTTTTCGTATTCAAACATACGATGGAAAGAATTCTCGGTCAAGAAATCCCCTCAGATTTTCGTGTCTTTTATCATACAAGACGGTACGGTAATAATGATGTGATGAGAGTTGGCGATGAACGAGATGATGTATTGTTGGAGTACTTATTGAGATGTGAAAAAATACGTGTCGTGGATAATGATGGCGTTTGGAGTGTGGGAATGTTGGTTTGGCGAAATAATGTTGAGGTTACGCTATTCTCAAAATCTCTCTTAGAAAAGCGAAAAAATACGCATTGATTTATTTATATGATATATCAAATAGATGTTAGACTTTAGAATTATCAAATTAGAATTATTCAACTTTTCTAGATATGATTATTATGATTCTTATATTCTTATATTATTATCAATTATATGGAATTTATTTGATTTTTGGGTATATTCATTAGGTTTTTTGTATGCTACGCAAATATATAAAAAATGTACGAACTATTTGACGCAGAAAAATTAAACTAATATAAAGTTTTATTAAAAACGTCATGAATGTTCTACTACATGTATATGCATTATCGCTATGATTTTGCAAGAATACATTCATATATTGATATAGATATACGGTAAAATGGTCTATTTAACATTTGCCAATCTAGTGCTAGGGCGAACCTCTTCAGCTCAAAACTTAACGTTAAGTTAGTTACATAAATTCCGTGTAATTGTTGGGCTGAGGTGAACAAACAAGGAATCAGTAATTTTGCCAATTCAATTATAAATACGGGTCTGGTACGAAATACCGACAGTTGGATATCCTTATTCTTTTCGATTTTGTGTGGTATACTAATGTCGAAATCTGTTATCACCAAAGAAAACAAATGAATATCAAAGAAATTGATGAAAGTTAAATATCAAATGTAATTTTACCTTCATTTGGGACATACAAATTAACACTTGCAGAACCTAAATATATATTTTAATATATATTTAAATCAATCGAAATATCATTTTAATTGAATAATTGCATCAGTTTGGATTGATAAGTAAACATTCGATTTGTGTAAATTGCAATTGAGTGGGTTTGTTGTTTTTTATATTCGTAGAAATTTTTTTTGTATTTCTATCTCCTTGTTAAGCTCTTCCAATTTCTATCTCTCAAGTTCAAGACACTCTTCATTGTTTTAGGATAAAGAACTGTAGTACAGGAAATATCATTTATTGCAACTCCTCTTTAATAGCGTAGATGGATCCGATAAAGTCTCTCAGTTCCCCGGAAATGGTCTGTTTCTGGAATAGGATCCCAACATTTTTCAATAATAAATTTGCACCATCCGGGAACATTATTTGATATCGTAGGTCTTATTCCTTTATAGATGTCGCATACAAGATATACAGTATATCATGACTTTGTTCATCAAATGGTCGTTTTCTACCTGTTATAATTTCATACGAAATCATTCCAAAGCTATAAATGTTTGCAGCATTAGAGTATGGCTTTCCATTAGACTCATATAAGAAAGTACTCCATAAATTTCTTTATTTGAGTTTTCTATATTTGTTGAAATGTTAAGCCCAAAATCAGCAATTTCAGGCGTATCATAAAATAATAAAATATTTCCAGGATGAAAATCACGATATACTAATTTTTCGCTTTGTAAATATCAGAAAAATATTTTGATTTTTGATCCCAAGTAAATTTGGAATTAATATGTTTACGGAGATCACTATTGAATATTCATTTTTATCTGGTTTTTATAATAATTATAACATTTAAAATCAGTCTGAATCTGTTTTTGAAAAAATTTGATGTATTAGAAACAAAAGGAACTTCACTTTAGAAAAATATTCATTTTACCTCGTGTATAAATTCTGGAGTAATTTGCTTTGAATTGTATAATAATTTCAACACAACTTTGAATTCTCTCCATCGTTAAAATTTATTTTCTTCATGATCCCATTGGTGAATTGTTCCATCTAACCTATAAATTGACCCAAAACCAGTGTTCGAAATTTTATGCCAAAGTATGTTCTCAATAGCTTAAACAAGTATTCTCAAAAATTTTTTAGAGTTCTCTATTGGTAATATTTTTTTAAAATCAAATTGATTTATTATAAAAATTAATACTAAAAAATAAAATCATTTAACGAAAAATTGAACTACACCAATATTTATAAGCATCTTCATAGTTAAAAGAAGTATAAGGAGGTCCATTTAAAGCTATCATTAAAATATCATTAAGAGTGTGAGTATTCATTCTATTTTGTAGGTTGGTTTTGATAAGATTTTGATGAGAAAATACACACTCAACATAAGCATTTGAAAATGGCAAAGATAACATAATAGAATATTAATAATATTCGGGTATAAAAGACAAAAATCATTATTTTCTTGAAACATCTGATCCAATGTTTGAATAATATGCAAATTGTAATAATTTGAAAGAAGTGCATGAACCATTCACCATTCTTGAGCAAGTGCATTAGCATCAATAATAGGTGGTATTTCTTGTTCTTAAATTAAATTATTATATATATAAAAATAATAAATTTTAAATTATCATCTAATACAAATTTCCCAGTTCCATAAAATAAACCTAGTTGCTTAATTTCATTATTGTCAAATAATAAATATAATTAGTAATCTCTTGGAACTTGTTTTGAATTAAAAATTTAAAATCAGTCACAAGTTCATTATATGGAAATTAAAGTTGTAAATTTATAATAATATTCACAAAATATTCTTTCACAAATTAAGATAATTAGAAAGATAAAATATCTTTTTCTTCAAGAAATATTAAAGAATTATTCTATATATTGACTTCATTTTTTTCAATAAAATCTGATTTAATAGAATCAATTATAGTTTTGATTATTGTTATTATTTCTAATATTAATATATATTTAACTTGAAATATTAATGTCAGTTAGCAAATTTGTGCCAGAATATTAGCAAAAAAATGAGTTGTAATAAGAAAATCTTGATCGATATTATTATAAAGTTATTGAGCAATGCATTTTTTATTATTATATCTTTTAATAATATACTAATAATTGAATTGATAATTTAATACAGGTTATTGACTATATTACTTAATAAAAGTCATTGAATTTTAATTAATCAGAGTATATTTAATTCAGATTTATCAATTTTATCTCAAAATATATGTAATTATTATAAACAGATAGAAGATTTTTCAAAATAGTTATATAATTATTAAATAATTTTATTATAAATTGAAAAATATATTATTTATTTAGCTATATCTTTTAAAGCTAATATCAAATAGTAATTGATACAATAATAATCTAAAAGCAATAGATAATATACTTTAAATTAAGTAATAATTCTATTGAAATATTCTTAATTTAAGTAAATTATTAATTTTATAATATAAAATATATTAAATTTAAGTTAAAATATTTATTCAAATTAATACTGGTATTATCACTATTAAAATAAATAATTTATTAAATAAAAAATATTTTGTCAATATAATTGATCAATATTTTCAAGAATTTTATTTGCTAATATTTATATAAGATAATAATCTCTAAAAAATGAAATTTAAATATTTTCACTTATATAATATTATTACCGTAGTGACATAAAATTCCTTAATTCCTTAATCTTTTTCTAGTTATGAAATATTACATTTTATTATAATTTTATTTATTTTATAATTATTCCTATTTTCTATATCATTTATTAC